GGTTTGTTTCATTAGCATCGTTAGCCTCCAGTGCTGGGAGCTCAGGGGATGCAGGTGATGCTCCCGGGGCTGGCAGCTCCCACATGCGTGGCTGGTCCCCACAGCCTTCTCTGTTCCCGAGGCTCACGCTCTGCGCAGGGACCTCCCGGGTTGCTCCTTGCTGCTCTGGCTGGAAATGGGGCTGGTCCCCAAAATCCCTGCGGCTCCTGCTGGCCTCGCACACATCCTGCTCCACGCCAGCGCCTGTCCTAAGGGGTGACAGCGGGTCCCCAAGCCCACGATGGCAGCATGGGGAGAGGCAGGGACTCGCCTAAGAATTTTGGAGGCTGTGGCGGAGGTGGGGGCTGCCCGCATCCCCCCCGAGGCATCACCTCTGCCTGTCCCCCGCTGCTGCCTGCGTGCCAGGACACGGGAGCTGTCTGACAGATGATTTTAGGTTTGTGTCAGTCGCCTGTCGCTGAGGCTGGGATGAGCCTCCCAGCCAGTGGGGACGTGCCAGGATCCAAGCCCCGCTCCCCTCCCTTCCCCCCCCTCCCTCCCTCGTATATTAAATTTCACAAATAAAACTGCAAGTGAAGAGCATCTCGGAGGGAACTGCTAAAAATAGCCCCGAGGCTGGAGCCTGGATTGTGCAGGCGAGTTCATGTGCAGCCGCGATCCCTGCCCTCTCCCAGAAACATTTCAGGGCTCGGGGCTGGTTTACGGCGCTGCGGGGAAGGGGAGGTGGGGGCTCTGGAGGACGAGCAGCATCTAGGGCTGGCAATAACCCCTAGGGACACCTAAATATTTCCCTAGCTGCGAGCGTCATGCAGCTCTGCTGGAAAATAAGCCCCAAATCTCTGAAAGCCTGAGTGTGATGTGAGACAGGGAAAAGGGGCTCTGACTCCCTTCGTCCAGCACGGATCTCAGCCCCAGCCTTGGTGCGGTGTTTTGCCAGCTGCCCTTTATCCCCCTGAGCCTCGGGGCTTGTCCTCCATCCGCTTTTCCTCCAGGAAGGATACGGCAACGTGTTTCCAGTTGTACCCCCTCCTCACCCTGGAGAGGAGCTCCTGTAGATGATGCTTTTCCCAGCAAAAGGTGCCGATGAGGCTGTGGGGAGCCCAGCTGCGCTGGGGCCGGTGTTTGGGGTCAGTAAAGCCTGTATGATCACCACCAGCCCCATGGGGACACTTCGGTGCTCACTGGTGTCACGATGAACTGGAGCAGGGCTCGGGGTCATTTTGAGGAGCAGAGAGGCGCAGGGAGTCCATCAGCAGTGTGTCACGGGGGCTTGGACCACGGTCCCTGGAGGTGCCACCAGCATCTTCCTCACCGTCCAGCGCACAGGTAAATACTCGGTGTGGGGTGTCCCAAAAACACGGGTGCTGCAACAGAAACGTCCCTCCCTTAGTAGGGCCTGGCACCACCCCAAACTGAGAGCACCCCCGGGTGACAGTGGGCACAGAGGAACCCCCAGCCCTGCCAGTAGGACCACGGCCTCACACAGCACGGAGGCGAAGGGATGTGCCCAAGAGCACACCGAGCAGCAGTGTCAGAGGAAGGAAAGGCTCCCTGCGGGGGTCCTGCCCTCCTCCCCCAAAGGGATCCTGCCCCAGAGGGGCTCCCACAGGGTGGGCATGAGGGTGCAGATGCTGCTGGGCGCTGGGGAGGGAAGGGGTGACGGTGTTGCATCCAGCACACTGCAGGGAAAGTCTTTTCCCATCGGCACCTCCCCAAAGCCCCGGGAAAAGCCGGTGTCCCTCCTGGCTTCCTGCGACTCGGTCTAGGCATTCCCTACCTCCTTTCCCAAGGCGCTGCCTCCTTCCCTGCCTGGGCACTGCCTGCATCCCTCCTCGGGCATCCCACTGTATCCCTCCCTGAGTATCCCACTGCATCTCCGCCTGGGCACAGCCTCCTTCCCTCCCCGGGCGCTGCCTGCATCCCTCCTCGGGCATCCCACTGTATCCCTCTCCGGACACTGCCTGCATCCCTCCCCGGGCATCCCCTGCATCCCTCCCAGGGCACTGCCTGCATCCCTCCCCGGGCATCCCACTGCATCCCCGCCTGGGCAGAGCCTCCTTCCCTCCCCGGGCACTGCCTGCATCATTCCCGGGCATCACTGCCTCCATCCCCGCCTGAGCATTCCCTGCCT